GTAAATTTACATTGAATTGAAGCACTTTAAACTCATGTGTGTATAGTTCAAATAATCTGTTATGTAAGTTTCGTACTTGAGTAATCTCTAGCCCAGCGTTCACCATACAAGTGGATTATTAATGAGTAGTCTGGACACCTTGCCAGCAAACTTCAAAGTTCTCCTCATAGGAATGGTAACAGAACCTGTGATCGTAGCTCTACAAACATCCCCTTTCTTGATACACTGTGAAGTAAGAAAATCCTCAGTACTGAAGATACATTTCACGAATTGAGACAGTAAAAGTCCATCACGACACACAACATGCATGACGGTACTAGACGGATACGCCAGTCATGTTAATTTTTTTTATCATGTTGACGAGACATGATTAAATTTATACTAGAATAAAAACCCATTATAGCTCTCACTGAACTGTAAGCGACCTTTCAGGTAACAAGCTCAGTTGTTATAACCTTGAACTCCTCATTCTTATTTGTATTTCAACATTTCATTACTAAAAATGTATCGAAACGTTTCTATGAGACGTTGAGTTGCAAGATGTATGTCACTAATAATGTTGAGTCCGAGTATGAAAAATGTTTTATACCTTATGTTTTGTGCCTGGACCTGCAAATGAAACATAACATTTGTATTATAGAACTGCATACTCCCATTGAAAAAATGTATATGTATATTTATGTTATTACAAAATTTGAAAATAACCAAATAAAAAATATAGTAAAAAATGTTCGTTTTTCTATCAATTTAGTATTTAATTTTTTGATTGACGTTAAATCTAGTTAGCCCAAAATGTTTCTGGAATGCTACTGTAAACAAGAATGTTAAAAAACAAGGAAAAAGAAATATAGGTTTGTTTAAGTGTACATATATAAGTTTCAAACTTGAAAGAAAGGCGGCACTGTCGGAATTCAACATAAACAGTTAGTAATGTTTAAATTGTTTTTTTACCAATTGTCATTGTGTGGAAGCCTTGTTGTAATATCAACTATCTTGAAAAACATTATCTGTAAGTTACTGAAGAGAATTAGAATTTCATCACGATGTCCTATTGGATTGTGAAATTTCCTATAAGTGATTTTTTTTCAATATAATCATTTTCATTTCTTTAATAAGCTGTCAAATCGCGCGTGTGTGTAATGTGTGAATATCTAACCAGGGACTTTTAATAAGCATGTTTGCCAAAATTTAGTAGATTTAAGTGATCAGGACATAAAGGTATAAGTAGAGAGAGTTGAATAACAGCTTTGTACAGCTAGATGGAGAAAACTACACACAGAAGTGCCCTACATGAAGTTAAGGTTTCCTCATCTCTCGTGTCTTATCGCAAAACAGAGGTAACTTTGGAGCTCCTCTGTGATAACATGGACGATGAAATATAGATCTAGCAAACTTACTTTGAAAAATAAGCCAGGATTTTCTTCCAGAATGTTTTCTTCGGGACGGGGGAGGGGTATTTTATGTGGTGACTGATGTGGCGTGGGGCAGTTGAGTTCCAAACCTGGTTGTATTCTTCAATGTCTTCAATGTATTCGTCAAAATAAGAAAGAAGAGCTAAACTCGGATGTGACTTCTAACAAATGTCATGTGTAAAAATAAAATAAAATGGAAAATTCATTGGCTTTCTGGGATGAATTTAAAAAAATAACTTGCTATGTACCTTTAATTTTGAGTTATTCTTATTGTAATTTTCTTGTACTCAGTTCTTTAAAAGTGACATTGTTGTAAGGCTTTCATTAACTGAATTTGGTTATTTAAATTAAAAATGAAACAAATTTCGAAAAGAACAAATTGTTAGACTCTATAAATATAGGTGAAGAAGGCAAATTACGTTGATTATAAGGATTTAATAAGATTTAGTCAGGAGAATCAGTTCCAGTCAAGAGTCTAATAATTCTTGAATATGAATGCTGTTTTGACATTATCTAAAGTGACATGGATTGGGTGTGGTCTAGTGTGCTCGAAATATGAAGCTAAGGTTTTCTTGGTTGCATCCTGTTCCTGCAAAAACTTGCTCCGCACTTTGAGACTGTGGGAGCAGTATAAGAGTCGTGATCAAATACCAGTTTTCGACCAGACAGAGCAGCCAAAACGTTGACGGTGGGTGCTGTTGCTTAACGTGTGAAATAATAAACTGGAAATATTTAATTAAATATTTTTCTACCAAAGATAATTAAACTGAACAATGTTTAGTACTGTATTTTGGTTTATTCTTCTCTTCGCAGATAAAGTTGGAATCTAAGGTCAAGGTCATATAGACTTTTCGAAGTTGAAACTCTGATCCTACAGTTGTTATTACATTTGCTAAATTTATAAACAGTTTATTTTTTCGTTTACAGATCATATTCTGAATATATGTTCTTGATATGATAATGACAAAGTCAGATTCTGATCTACGAATTTTTTTATAAGTCAAGATAACTTTCAAGTAAGACACTGAACTTATGTGCTTTGTTATGAATAAAATATGTCGGTCCCATACCTTTCTATTAGTAAGATTTCGGTATATACCTCTTTTAATTGAAAAATAAATTAAAAGTTCTAATGAATGGAAACTTAACCATCGCTACAATTAACAGCCTGACTGACCCTTAAAACCGGTAAAGATCTTTTCCGACTTAGTGTCTAAATAATTCTGCAACACAGCTGATCATGAAATACGGAGACTTTTGTGCAAGTAGACCAATGACTCATTACTGGTTTATACGTTAACAGAGCACCTATATACACTGTCCAAAGCAAATAAAGTGTAACCGGAATTCGTTTTGTTATATCTGTGACAAAGCAAAAACCACTGTTATAGATCTGTCAAACTTCTCTTCAGTTGATTTTTATGAAAATCAGACATCTGATGACAAGTCATGTGATTTGAATTTCAAGTGATTTATCATTCGCCCGTACTTTGTCAAGTGGTATCATGCAGTATAGTCTCAGTCGCACTTTCATAAATGTCTAGGAATACCATATTGTTCCTGAACCATATTTGAACCAGATGGTCACATCCAAAACCGAACTTCGAGGCAGCTTAGAGGCCAGTCAATATGCCAGACACCCAATAAAATGCACTGTAGCAAAGTACAAAACAACTCATCTCCATGTGCCAAGAACATGATTAGTGGACCAACAACATTAAAAGCAATATTTTTTACAGATAAGCCACGCTTCACCATACAGTTACACAACAGGCTTTTGTACAATAGAAGGAGATTAGGAACCAGATCCACCTCATTTCCATTCAGAAACGTACAGCATATTACACTTGTAGATTTTTGGTAAGAGCAGGAATAGCACCAGTGAACGACCTGCGGTACCACTGATGTCACACATGATAGGGATCCTTGTGCTGCTATTTGATGGTACTTTATTCTAATGGGCTGGTTATAATACCCATCCACTCTGCGCGCAACTGGTCAACACACTGCTTGAAGAAAAAAATAATTAACGGATGTGGCAGGCGTTCATCCTCACCGGACTTCAGTCACATTTAACATGTATGGAGTGTTCTCGAGAGAAGTGTCTTATTCTTTCCAATGACTCTAAACACTAAAGATGTCATAAAAACGACTCTTTGGGCGGGTCGATCGAGAATAATAAGGACCTTATTAACAGTCTGATTTTAAATATGCAACTTCGGTGCCAGGCTGTTCTTAATGTTCGTGACGACCCCTCTCTGTGTTGAACTAAAATATCACGGTGTGTAAAGATGAAAACCACATTAACCAAATATAGGCTAAATAAACAATCATTTTCATTTCACATTACGTGATTAATTATAAGATGCCTAATTTGACAGACGTCTTGTCATAGTTACAACATTAAAAATTCCGATTATCGTTTAATGTGTTGAGCAGTGTAATGGACTCGTACAGGGACTATTTTTAGCTTTAAGAAACACACACACTCAGAATTTTCTCCTTGAAATTGTGATACAATCACATGTTAGGAGACGTATCAACTTTTAAACATGAATATCGTCTGAGTATTCTCCTTTTTACGTTATCAAACTACTAATCATTTTACGGTAATTTTGAGTTTTTTGTTTGTAATTAAGCACAAAGCTACACAATGGGGTATCTGTACTCTGCCCACCATGGGTATCGAAACCCGGTTTGTAGCGTTGGAAGTCCGCAAACATCCCGCTGTGCCACAGGGGGGGGGGGTTGAATTTTTTAGATTTTTACTGTGAATACGATATCAGGATATTTTACTTGCTCGAGCAAGTGAAATTTCCTGATATCGTATGCACAGTAAAACCCGTAAAAAATTCCAAATTACGCAAAATGATTATTAGTTTGATAAAGTAAAAAAAGAGAATACTCAGACGATATTCATCTATAATATATATACTTTCCAGAAATGAGTTTTTCAAATTCGAAACCTCAAACTAGTAATTTGGTCGTAATGTTAATGTACTGTTGTAGCTCTAAACTTTTGTGGGGCAACAAGACTAAAAAGGTTTCCTTTTTGTTTTTTTCCAACATTATGAAAACGAGTAGAAATTCATAATATACTAGAGAAGGTACTTCTAAAGAGCATTTTGTTTTACACTCTTGCGAATTTGTATTTAATTTACTGTTACGTGAGAAGAAGAATTATGAAAAGTAGACAATTATTTTACTGAAAACATCCCTTTAGTATACGATTAAAACTAAGTTTTCAAAGTACAATGTACAGCAAATTAAGAACATCTTTCTCAACAACCCTGCTTGTGACAGTTGTGCTGGGATTACAAAGTATCATAGTCATCATCGGGATAACAGATTATCATGAAATTTTATTAGTTTTCATGAGCTTTCGTATCATATTTTATTATTAATTTTGTTAGTTTATAATGGTATTTACGTTAAAATATACAACTTTCGTTTTTCAGTTTTAGTGAACAATATTAAAATAGTACAATTCTTATTGTTCTACTATGCTTTTTATTAAATTCCATTATTTTTCTCAAAGTTATCTATATAAAGCGTATCACTCACCCCTTGCATTAAGCCCCTACTTACCTGAAAACCCTTCGTACAAATAAGATTGATGTGTGAATATGAGCTGTTCCTGAGATGTTTAGTAAGCGTTCAGAATCCTCGTGCAAATTCACGCTATACAAAATGACACAATGACTAAACAACAACTAGAGTACAGCTGCAATTGAAACTTGATGGCCCAGCAAGCGCTTCTCGAGATGCTGACGTCAAACAACAAGAACTAAAAATACTTCTGCTTAAGTAGGGGTCACGGGATCTAACGGCGATCTCTGGTTGGCTAATTTTAACTTTGAAAAGGTTTGAAAAACAGCTGATGTTTAAAAATTTCAGCAAAACACACGAAACTTGCAAATTTAGAGGACTTTTGAAGGATAGACTAAGTACACATTATAATTCCATAGAATCGCACGTATGAAGAATTTTCGAATTAATCTTTCTAAACAAAATGTCAGGAGAGTATAATCACGAAGATTTGGGAAACGGAAGCTGGTAACTAGCTCAGTGGAAATATAAAAGAAATTGTAGATTTAGAGAAAGTTGTTGTTGTTCTTTTAGCGCAAAGTTCTGTCCACCACGGGGAATCGAACCCCTCATTTTATCGTTTTAAATCTGGAGACTTATCGCTGACCCACCGAGGGACGGATTTATAGATGGCTAACCTCATATTACTTAGTTTTGTTATGTCTCGTGTGTGCTAGTGGTTAGCGTGCTCGGACTATGAATCCGAGGGTTTTTGGTTCGTTACCTGTTGTCATAAAACTCACCCTGCACTTTAGGGCAGTGTATGCGATATAAGGTTGACGGGCAACTCCAGTTATGCAATCAGACAAAAGGTAACCAAGGGTTGGCGAGGGCAACTGTTGACTAGATACCTTCTCTATTGTCTGTCAGCTCAGAATTTGATAGGGCTATGCACAAATAGTACTTCAGTAGCTTTGCGGTATATTCTAAACAAACAAATTTCAAAACAATCTTTGTGTTACTTAATATAAACTACATTAGATGAGGCCCGGCATGGCCAGGTGGTTAGGGCGCTCGACTCGCAATCTGAGGGTCGCGGGTTCGAATCCCCGTCACACCAAGCATGCTCGACCTTTCAGCCGTGGAGGCGTTATAATGTGACGGTCAATCCCACTATTCGTTGGTAAGAGAGTAGCCCAAGAGTTTGCGGTGGGTGGTGATGACTAGCTGCCTTCCCTCTAGTCTTACACTGCTAAATTAGGGACGGTTAGCGCAGATAACCCTCGTGTAGCTTTGCGCGAAATACAAAAAACAAACAAACATTGGATGAACGTTTCCTCTGAATCTCATTAAAATAATACCATTGCAAAATAAAAAATGTTTCTGGAGATGTAAAACTTTCATAGATAGTCAAGAAATATTGCTGTCTGTTGCTCGATACATAATATATATGTATAACAAAACATGTATGTGTTTCGTTGGTATATATATATATTTATAATATGCTTGCGTTTGTCTGTTCGAAACCTTTCTTGCAAATTTCTTGCTACAAATCTCATATCCTTACAAAGACCTTTGTCCGAACAGTCTGGATTGCATACTGACTTTTTATTTCAGATCCTCTTCTCTGTTTAGTCAGACTTTTTAATGAAAGGAATATGTTACACGATGGCACAATGTCGTTGTCATCACGTGACAACTGGCTTCGATTTGGACTTTATTTTTTTTATTTGCAAAGTATTTCACATAAACAACGTGTAATGTCCTAAAACAAACTAACATTATACTAAATACAACTTCTATGGGCTTTCTCCACTTATTTTGGTTACAATACAATCTAATACATAATGCCAGCAATAAAACGTAGCTTAAAGAAATTTTACGACATTGTGAGAATGCTTCACTGTAAAACTTACTTGACAAGCTGATAAGAAATATACCTAAGGGGTTACAATTTAGTCAACACTAAAAGTAAAAGATTAATATTTAATGTATGAGAAAACCCACAAAGAGGTCACCAAAGTTTGTTACACAGATCCAGAAATATTAGGAAATGGTCGTAGTATATAATAATTAAGCCATTTTGATTCAAATGAGGTTTTTAATAAACAGCAAATAAGACAAAAATCATGTTTCGTAATATATATACTAAGCCTCAATAGTTTTCTCAGGTGGTATTCTATTTTCAGTTCACTGGGACCGAAGCTGGAACCTCTCACACGAAAAACTATCGCTATCATATGAATTCAAATACTAACTTTATTGTAAACTACTTTTTAACTATTGAAATCATTTCATTACCTTCGCTACATAAACATTTCAGAAAGTTTGTCATTCTGTTTCACTCAATATAATACATTATGCAAACTATATTTTTATAATCGCATTAAGTTGAAACGTCAGTTACGTGTAACTTACAGAAGAAGAGACTTAAAGAAATAACAAGTTTTGCAAGATAATAGTTGAATAATCAATATTTAGAAAGTCGTTCTGAGCTTAAATATATGCTCACATCGACCAGACATGATGCTACCAGTTGTTCAGATTATCAACTGGTTTTGCATTTCATTTTTTGGTGTACAATCATTCGAAGTTCTGTAGATTAGTCCCTTCTATATTAAACTGGATTACCATTGGGATTTTTGGTTGACCATTATAAAATTTATAGTATCACCACCATTTTTCCTTTCCTCACAATACCTTTTATTCAGTAGAGCAGTGTAATTTGTGACAATGTCAATTAAAAGCTCTGGCCAATTAGATGTTTTTCACTAGATATTGCGTTACAAACCATGATGCTGTGATGATGTTTCTATTATATAAGACCATTGGCTTTGACAATACCTCCGACATCTTCCACAGAAAAACATCCTCAGACCGATGTGGACTTCCAAATATGTCATTCTATTTTGTTTACACACACACACACATTTGCTTAAGCTCCAGATGGTCACATTTCTGTAGAAAACTGTCCTAAGTGTTTCCAGATTGCTCATTATTTGCTTCCCCAGTCCAAAACACATTATTTTCGTTTTTCTATGTTTTGTAATACTTTGCAGAGTTTAAACACTTGGCCTGTCACACGTAAGATATTAGGTTTTTTATTACAACTTTTCTATTTAGACTACGTTGTTGCAACTTTTTCCGAAAAGTTCAATTGCTGATTCTAACTCTGTGAATGTCTTGTGTTTACTTCTGGACATGTTTTGAATCGACTTGATGTTGAAATTCTTTGAATAACATTACTTCCCTATCTAGATGTTTTCCTTGGACTTCCTTATTACATTTTAAACTTACAGATGCAGTAAAATACTATACAGCTCTATAATCTTGCCCTTACAAACACAAATTGTTTTACCCTTATACCGGTGAGTTTTTGTTATGTAAAGTAATAACTTGTGCTTTTTTTTTACTACTTAGTTTCTTATTCTGAGTTTTAGTCGCGTTGAAACATGTAAAGGTTTTGGATGTGTTGGTATTTTATGAGCCATTAACTACAAGTAACTCAATTGAAACAATGGTGTTGTTTATTTTAAATGGATCAATGCCGTAGCCAGGAGCATTCTTCGAGAGAGGAGGGGTCTGGTGAGTAAACGATTAGATGACTTGTAAAGCAACTCAAAAAAGTCTACAAATAATTCTGTTTTCTGAAATTTGTATGTGTGTATGTAGGGAGGGAGGGGGACACATATTACACTTGATTTATGTTTAATAGCACCCAGTAAATAATTGTTTTTATTGTAATGGACATAACACAAAGCGAGACACCGTTAATGTCTTACCAACAGCTATTCTTGTTCTTGAGTAGCCTGTGGTTAGTGTTTCTGGACTGTGAATCCGAAGGAATAATAATTCGCATCTCGTTGCTACAAAAATGCGGTCCGCACAATGAGGCCGTTTGTTCGCTATAAGATTGACGGTCCTATTGCAGTATTCAATTAGACAAGAGTAGCCCTGTAGTTAATAATGGGTGTTGTTGACTAGCTATCTTCCCTCTAGTCTATCAGTTCAAAATTAGGTACGGCTAGCGCAGATAACCTTTGTGTAGTTTTGTGCAAAAAATATCAAACAAATAAGCAAACCTAATTTTTCAAGTTATTACTTATTCAGCCACAGTTTTTGTTGAAAATCTTGAGTACCTTTCTTCACCCTTGGGAAAACATACTTTCTTGAACTTTATCTCTTCTCTCTGTATATTTATCTATCTATATATACAGTACGTCATTAAGAGAGAAAACATATATTGTGCCATACTTTCTTGAACTTTATCTCTTCTCTCTGTATATTTATCTATCTATATATACAGTACGTCATTAAGAGAGAAAACATATATTGTGCCATACTTTCTTGAACTTTATCTCTTCTCTCTGTATATTTATCTATCTATATATACAGTACGTCATTAAGAGAGAAAATATATTTGTTAACCCTTAGTTACTTATGAATATATACAAGTTTAATATTTTGTTTTAAAAACAGCCTATAAATTCAGTTAACGGAATACTTAAAATCATAAACCGAAAAAAGAAACCCGAAGTTTCTGATAATTTACCATATGATGTAAATTCTGCATATTTTCTAAAAACTAAATTTGATTAGGATTTGAAACCACGTTTTCCATGTCAGGAAGATACTCTCACCCAACTGATAACTTAGTTACTTTTTTCTCGGGTTGATTGGAACATCTAAGAACACGGGCTCAGATCCTACACGGCATAAATTCCTGCTTACAGCAATTTAATTAATGAATTCCGTAAATGTTCAATGCTTATATATATAGATTTTATGTAGAACAGCAAATTTGAACATTTAAAACGAATAATAAAATAAGTAAAGAAAGAAACAGAAAATAACAATAAACTGCTCCCGACTCTCACTTTAAATTTAGATTTTTCTTTGTTATTTTGCACTTTCAATAAAAGCACGGTATCTTGTTAGTGCGTGTGTTTGAAAACCATTATGGTATATCTTCGTTTGGTTTTTATGTATAATACTTTACTCACCATTAATAATCTAAATACTCTATGTGTTTGGATAACATGTGACATTTTTATACAGTAAACTAACTGGTTATTAATTTAGTTGTTAATTTCTTTTCTTTACCAAGCCACAGTGGCACTGCGGCATTTCTGCGGATTTACAACGCTAGAAACCAGGTTTCGATACCCGTGGTGGGCAGAGCACAGATAGCCCATT